CTTAAGAGGCATTGTGGTCTGTAAGCCTTTCCTTTAGGTGGATCAGAAGTTGAGGCAACAATCCATGATAAAGGGAGGTCACTGACTGCAGGCCATGCTCCTACTCAGTCGACAAACACCATACTCAGTTACACAACACTACTTTCTAATTTACACTGAAAATAACCAACTGTAGGAGCATACTTCCGAGTTTGATCTTATGGTGTATTCAACAATGCCTGTGTGTTGTTCCCTCCATACATCAATACTGGGAACATAACTAAATTCCCCTGTGCCACCCCCATCAGCAAGATTTGCACAGCACTAGAAATTAATTACTTATGTGAAATTAGTTTTAAATGTTAAAAACTGCGTTCAATAAGAGCAGTAAATATTATGAAGAATTGTCAAGCTGTGTCAGAAACTGATTTATTGCTTTTTGGGAAAAAAGGTCACTGTGTTCCTGGGGAAATAAAGGATGCATTGCAAGGACGCCACAGCTTTAGCCCCGGGCCATCCCAGTACATAGCACCACCAATGTGTGTGTAGGAGCACAAATAAACACACGTGAAAGGGTAGGACGACAAGGACGCACAAACTGTTGGTGTGCTGCTGTTTTATGCTTCCTACAGCATAAAATTTGTGAATCCTCTTTAACTGTATGGGTGCAATAGGTTTGTAATTTTTCAGATATTAACCTTTTTTTAAAAGAGTACTGATTAGGTTCATGGTGACACTTAACATCTATGAAGTGCATACAGTCTAATAATCCACACGACACACTGTTAGCTTTCATAGAGCCCGATTCCTCAGTAGAAAGCAGTTACAAAGAAAACTTTTCACAGCGAGGTGTGTTGATTATTCTGTGTAACAGAAACACTGATTGAGGAAAGACACATTCCTGTTAAAAAAAAAAATTAAAAATCACCTCCATTTCATTGGGATGGAGGCAGAAATCTTAAGAGAAATATCCAAAATATTGAGCGAACTGAATCTGCAAGTTTTATTATAATAAAGTACTAAGGAATAACAAAAGTAGAACAAATAGATAAACAGGTTACCTGTCTGCCTCTCTTGAATAAAGTCCCTTATCTAAGCTTTATTTTTTCCATGAGCCACAGCGGTGTCCAGATATGAGGTAACATACAAGCTATGCAAAGATTAACATAAGAACAGAGGCTCCTACTATCCTTAATATAATTCAAGGTCTTTTTGTGACAGATGTGGGCCAGTGTTATGAGAACTCTGTGCAGAAGACGACCGTGGAGAAATACCTCAATTATGTTACACTTCCTAAAGAACATACTGCCAGATTCTTTAATGCATGCTAATTCAAAGATATCTACAAACAGTCAACAATGCATTCACTTGAATTAAAAGTCATCTTCCCGTCCCATTTACATCTTACTTCGGTACAAGTGATGTAGAGCCAGCAGTGAGCTTCAAATAAATCAACTAAAGTTACTGCTTCGCAGGAAGTGTGCAGAGAGGTCCGAATACAGTTGTGCCAGAATGGTCTGTCCGATCACAACAGCCATTATTCATTCACTAACCATGCTGTGTCAAGGTGAGCCCTGGGAGTCCAGCCCATTATTAGTGCTTTGATCCTGTGTGCCCTCAGCCAGCAGCCACCCATACTCCCACAGGAGCACTCTCCTCTCAATTTCTCCTAACAGGCCTGCAGGGACCACAGGCTCTGACTCAGCCCACTGTCACCTTGCCCCAATGAAAGGTTTATTTCAGCCAACAGCGGTTTTCTTCAAGGACTACAGTAGCAACATGTCCTTCAACAAAAAGTGTTAGAGTATGTTTGCTATCTTTGATAAAGGTCTCGTAGCATGCCAGGATAGGAGGCAACCTCTTTCCAAAAAGAATTTGGGCAATGGTAGCTGTAAATGATGTGTTATTAACTTAAAGCTTTAAGACCATAACACTGAGGAAACAATCTGGCAAAAAAGGTGAGATGAGCTTTTCTTACCAACATCCATGGCTGTTTCCATGAAACTCTTCTGCCTGGAGGCAAATTCAGCAAGCAGCTTCTGCTGTCTCTCTCTTGCCCTCTGACGTCTGAAAGAGTTCAAAACCAAATGAATTGTAATGTATTAATGTATATGTAACAATTGAAGTAAGACTTTAAAAAACATGAATTATATCTGTGTGATTGAAGGATTAAAGAATTTCCCGTTTCCATGAGAAAAGAAAAAACATCCAGTGGGTAAAAACAGGGATTTCACACATTGACAAGTGCTGCTCCTGATAGGTTCCTGACAGCCACTTGTCTCCATTCAAGAACATTATTATATTTTAATTTAATTAAACTATTTTATACACTTCAAAAGTGCATTACAGTATCCCAGGAATAAAGAGGTCTGTTGTGCAGTGCATGTTTCCCCTGATCACCCAAAACATATAAAACAGATTCATCCATGTAGCAGTGGATACTGGTATATACACAGCAGGTGTCTGATTTACAAGGCTGTGTTGTTAAAGTTGGAAAGGTTGATTGTTAAACTAACAGTGGGTTGAGCCCCACTCTGCAGACTTACAGGGTGAGAGTTGACTGTAAATTAAGTCCTTAATAAGCATAAACAAATGCTGACAGGAGCGCCACAGCTCAATAACTTTCACTGATGGCTTCAGGGGTGACAACAACCAGCATGAGGAATGGCCAGCAGCTTCCCACTTCTCATTGCCACTGACCGCACTGCTGCCTTGAATGGTTGCCTTGGAAACAGTACTAGTTTGTGAGAGAGTCTACCTTTACCTTTGTTGGTGCGGTGAAGCCTACCCCAAAAGCAGGCAATTATTAAATGGTTATAGCCCGGACTACTCAGTGAATGTGAGGTGAAAAGCCAAAAAACCCTGAGAGAATGGAGCCCATGGCAAATCGCTATATTTCACTCAAACCTTTAGCATTCAAGTGTGATTGGACATCATACACACTCGTCGTCCTTGTACGATACAGCACTTTGAACTGTCATTGCAATTGCACTGAAATAAATTTATTGTAGTGTTCTATAAAAAAAATATTGACTGTCTTGATTATATTTATTTTATAAAACTGATGATACAACTCACTGTTAAGAGAGCTGTATGTACACAATACCAATGAGAGACTACTGCAAAGTGATAATGAGCAATATTAATATGCAGCATGGAGCTTTGAAAATCTAAATCCATAGTGGTAAATATTATTTAAGACAATAAAAGTGTACACCATTATGTTACCTCTCTTCTTTATCCATGGTTTTCTTGTCACTGGGACTGTTCTTCTTTGGTGGCACAGGAGGACACGCCTTCCCACAAATGTCCTGGATGCTACGCTTGATTTGACAGCTGCGCGTGGCTGCCTTGGTGAGGATGCGCTCAATAGCTGTAATGCCGTCTCCATGAGTGTGACGACTTGTGTCCATGTCCTCTAGCCACGATGCCGACAGAGAGTTCTGCTTGGACGACAACTTCTGGTGGAGCTTGATGAGGAGGGACAGCATGCTCTCCCGGATCTCCAGGATCTCTGTCACCAGCTGGGGGGGTGTGCCTGGTGGGACCCAGCGTGTTGAGGAGCTCTTGGGCCTGACAACCTGGGCGGCTTCAGTGTTGCTGCGGTTGATTATCTCCTGGAACTTCCTCCTGCGCTCAGCTACAAGGCTGAAAACCTGAGCTTCACGCAGGTTCTGAGAAAGTAGAAGAAATAGAATTAAATAAACAGATGCTTAACAACATACGTATTAAAATGGCCGTTCACATCTTTGGTTAAAAGTTTTAGGTTACAACACCATGAGATTGTGTACAGCTGATCCAAGTCTGGCCGTGATAATGCCATGCCCTATGATTTAAGCAACTGTATATGGACACACTGTAAACACATGTGGTGCATAAATAAATCTCACAAACATACATTTCACAGCACACATCATTTCAAATATCAAGCCTACACTATATCCGCAAAACGTGCAAACTGACCCTTGCAACAAACATCCCTTCAAATTCCACCTGCATCTGGGTGCTTAGGCAGATCTGCATTTGACCACAAACACCTTAAAGCATATCACTAATAGTCAGATGGACTTTGATGGATTGAAGGGGTGGTTCATTACCATAGTCAGACAGGCACAATGCACATAAAAGTCAAATTAAATGTCCATTATAAAATTTCAGCTGACTTATCACAAATACCTTTGCTGATACCACTCAACAACCATATTCCTGTGGAAAATTCAAATCATCCTGATGTTAAAGCACACGAGCTATCTGAGGGATTGCCATGACTTGACCTGACGAAAAAAGGATCCGAGCTGCACTGTTAAATAAACATACATCATATAGCCCAGTCAAGGCAACATCAATCATACTGACATGCGGTTAAAAAGTGTTTACCCAAACCTGCATTACACACGTAATTAGTTTCAGCACTCAAGAGGGATGGGAACTGCTGAAGCACAGCATTATACACACGCCATAACACACAAAGGCAGACGTCCTTTGAATAGCACAAAACAAAGATGTGTAAAGACATTCTTTCATAATAAAGATAAAAAGCAGACAAATGCTGCTGCTAGTGGCATCAAAGCCATCCGCCTTTTCTTTTTTTTTGGGACATAGATAGCTACCTCTCTCCAATTCCCTCCAAGACGCCTGGAGTTCTGTGGAGCAGGTACAGCAAAATGAACAACACTAATAACGATTACTCAAAAGAGGAACAAAACCCAAGACGTTAAAAACCGTATGATGTGAGGGCAGAGATCAAAGAAAATGTGAAAAAAAAAAAAACAATACTGCTTTTGTTGGTGTAATGTGCTAATGTCATACTAGCATGAGGATAGAATGGGAGATGGGGAATCAAAGCAGTAAAACAAGCAAGGGTGAGAGACCTGATTCATCCTCATCCTATCATACAATGCATGCAAAGCACTGAAATATGTTGGACCAGAAATGATTCCTTAAGTGATGTGACTCTAAACTTTGTCAACACCACCTGTAAATTCTGATAAGTGAACAAAAACCACTTACCAGCACCACTAAAGCTCAGTTATTAAAGCATTAGCATCTAATTTGTTTAATCCGTAAGAAAAATATTGTTTAATCTGTGTTGGACTATTTCTTGGCCAGGAGCAGTGACTTCCCTTTAGTTTCCACTGGTTGCTTTGCAACATCATGCTGATAACAAGACCACAGCTTTGGATGTGCTCCATTTGGTCAGCGTGCCGCTTATTATGTAGTGGCAAGGTGGGGAAACTCAGTTGAATGGATTGCAGTTGACAAATGAGGCAGCAGGTATGATGTTAACTCCCTATCAGATGATAATCAAGTAGCAGCAGGTGGAGGAGATGCTGTGGCAAACTTTTATTTTATCTTTTCACTGCCTTTAAGTGTTGGAGACACAACAGCAACCCTTTCTATTTAGAGCTTTAGCCACTACATGCTGTGTGAAATGTGTTCATGAATCTATATTGTTTACGATACTGTTGGTACACGTGGAATTTTGTTTCCTTGCTGCAAGGAGCTGCCAATTCAAGTCAGCATAAGCGCCATATTCACTTTTGAGTGCCAACCTGAAGGGGTGGAAACCACGCCTGACTGGCACTGTGCTTGGTCCATTGCCCAGTGGAGGACAGGAAAACAAAACTGACAGCAACAGAGGCCTGGCACGCGCTACACTTTTCAAGTCTTTCTAGCTAACCTTTAAGCGGACAATTGCCTACTAATACAATCGAGACACGAAGCAACATTGGCTTTGGAGTGTGTGTTTTAGGGCTCCTCACAAATTCAGGTCCAATAATCACTGGCCTTTCAGCTTGGATCTCCTGAGAAAAATATCTGCGTCTTGAGCATTTAGATGTTTCAGCTTTCCTCCCCAGGCACTGGTCTAACTGTGTGCTGTTCTGTGCTGGCATGAGGCAGACAACAACAAACTGGGAGACATTATAGTCACTTAAAGTTTCGCTTTCAGCTGTTGTTTTATTTTGTTGATTTTTTATTTATTATTGTAATTAATGATACTGTAATCCAGCTCAGCCTATAGCAGAGCAATTCTTTACCTGGCCATAAGAAGAAGCTTCAGTGCTGGTGCTTGGGGGGGGCTCTCTCTTCACTTCAGGAGCTGTCTCAGGAACTCGAACTCTCACAAAGTTAATGACATGGTGCAGATTGGAGAGGAGGTTGATGCCAGGAAACCAGCTGTCATGGCAGTGCTCCTCAATGCAAGGCTCCTGGAAGCATAAGATCCTGTAAGACACTGGTGACACTACAAGTCTATACAGTGAGGCTAATGGTTTTAACTCCATCTCTCACCTCGTCCTCCTTGCTGTCTTGAACCTGGTTGTCCAAGCCCAGCTCGATCAGGTACAGCACCATGCAGAGCACATGCTCGGACATATTCTGATGATCCATCCATATCTAGAGCATGTCACATAATTAGTTTACACGGAAGAACAAGTAAAACCTTCACCTTAGTTTACTGCTATACCACCTCACTACTGATACCTACTATGTCAATATTTTTACAGTTCAACAATTGCTTGCCAGTTGATGCTTTTGTCTTTTTGTCTCTACGTTATGACTCAACAACACCAGGAAGTCTGTTCATTTTGTCCAGCACCATCTGCAATTCAGTCATTCTTGTATTGTACCAATATCTTGTAACATATGATCACCTAATTGCCAAGTCATATTACGTGTGCACCAATTAAATATGGCAAACAGGAGTGCTACTAGATTTAGCTCCAAGAGTAAATTGAGAATCAAGGGAATCACGGTATTATACCACATGAATGGTTGTTGAAAAGGCTCACCTTGTAAAGGAGAGTGAATATCACAATGTGCAGCGTCTTGCAGTGCAACAGCTTGATTAGGCCTTTGTAACACGGATGCAGAGGAGTCCTCTCCTTGTAAGGTGGCCATGGGTTGCCGGTGTGAATGCCAGACTGTTTTAAACTAGGTGACATAATCGTCAAAAAATAAAAATGACAATAAAGAACAATCAGCAGAACATAGAAATTACAAACCTGTAAGGCCATATGCTACATAGAACAGAAGGTTGAATTTCCACAAAAAGTATGATGATGTATGATGATGAAATAAAGCTGTGTTTCGACCAAAGGAACTATACCCCGGAACTAGGAACCTTTGGAGGAACTCGCTGTGTTTCCACCGAAGGGACCTGGGTCTAAATTTAGCTTGACGGTCTTTATTTTACCCCGCCAAAAGTCCCTGCTTGGGGAGGGATAGTACTTTCTGAAAGTACTGGTACTTTGGGGGGGTGGAGCTTGCCTTGCAGTGAATTTCTGAATGGGCGACTAGAGGCTACTAGCTTTAACTGGAGAACGTCGGCTGTATTTCTACTACTGCTCCTCTTGTCCACCGTTGTTTGCAAACCAATAAATCACAATCAACAGTCAAATAGCCACGCGCAAGTCTTGCCAATGTCCGCCTGAGATCGCACGTATTAAATGTATTGCACGGAAACAGCAGCAAGCATGCAGCGGTCTGTTCTAACAGCTGATAGAGCTATGCTAAATACTGGGTCCGAAGTTGTTGTTTTAAGTTTTCATAAGTCAGAAAGTTTCTGCATGGAGCCAAAGTCAGTCTCCTACTCTCCAAAACAAGTGGAACAGCTGACTACAGCAGGTAATAAAGCTCATTAAGAGTCACGCTCCTCTGATGATCAGGTGGATACAGACATGAGTGCTGTCAGCTAATTTGCATCTTTTGTCGGCTGGAGATGTTTTAATAACCTTCCAAACTGTCGCGATTTTATGTTTGTGTTTCTTTCTCTGTGCTGGAGTTATTTTATGAACTTGATGGCTTTATCCAGTTTGTTACTAAATTTGTAACAAAGTATCTTTATTATAGCCTACTTCCACACAATAAAGCTGTTTTTAATGATCAAGCATAGCCTATTGATATTCATTATATTCCAATCAAATCTGATGTTCATTTAGAAATTTTGCTCATGGTGACGTTACTAAATAGACCTAATGATGCCTGTCTGTCGCTTTGTATGGTGTACGTCAGTAATAACATTCGTCACCTGGTTAATATGCCTGATCTTCGCAGGTTTTTAGACCACAGTGGAAACGCACACAACAATGGGCTGAAGGAACCTTTTAGTTCCTTGAAAAGAGATCCGAGGACTAAAAAGTCCCCGGTACTTTTGGGGGAAATGCGGCTTTAATAGTTTGATGAGGTGACATCTTACATTGTTCAGAGTCATTCACCGCACAAGGAGGTTTTAGTCTATGCAACAGAAGAGCCGATGGGCAGCACATTCGCTCACTCTATTAGTGATGATTTTTTTGTTATATAAAGCCAGGGCACCCTGACAGGCAATCCATCATATTCAAACAGTGTGAATGAGCAACATGAGGCTGTATCAGACTATGAAGGTAGCAATGGCAGCTTCAATATGTTTCAAGGAGAAATATGCCTCAGTTTCAATCTGGTTTAAACTACCAAAACTAGCCTAGAAGCATTATGTGTGTGTGTATGTGTGTGTATGTGTGTGTGTGAAATACAATGGGTCAGTTTATCAGTGATCTAGCCATACTTTCAATTACAGCTTTATCAAAAAAGGCATAAAATCCAAGTGTAAACAGTTTATCTTGCCAACTACTATTTCAAAACACAAAAGCTTTCAGTGAGGGAGCTATTTTTTATAATTAGCATCTTCACACATTCCAGCGACATTCATGAAAATTACAGGTTTGGTTTGGGAGATGTCCGTAGCACAAAACAACAAAGAAAGATTTCCTAATTTCTTTTACAATTTAGACTGAAATATAGATTTTTCTGGACAGCTATGTAATTGGAACCAAGTTGAGCGCCCGGTAGACCTAACCTCTCTTATCATTTCCCTTCATGAGCAAGTGAGAGAGGTGACCCTACGACACTGAACAGAGCATGATGGTCGGTTTTGTCAGGTATGAACATGAATACATAAAACACAAGACCAATATGTGAAATACAATGATAGAAATGTTTTAATGAAAATAACTGTTAATTAAATACCTAAATGATATAAACAAATTTACTGGAGGAAATGAAGGCAACACTGTTAACTTACAACGCTGAGTATCTGTCCATTGCTGACTGGACGTCACGCCGATAGACTGTTCTGAGAACGACCATGATGGGGTCAAACTCCTTTTCCCACACCTCGGCTAGATAAGAAAAGGGACAGAAATGTTTTGTAACCTCTGGTACAAAGTGACATTGACTCACTTTCATCCTGTTTTCACCTTCTCTATTTAGGTGGTGTAAGCCTGCCCCCAAGTGGTCAGCAGAGGACTAATGACAGTTCTAATGCTCAAGACTTTCAGCTTATTCAGGTATCGAACTCATAATTTTTGCTCATTTCTACCCACAAATTAGAACAGAGTGGTCTGATATACAATACATTAAATGTATTCTCTCTGTGGGTTGTGAAAGCTATCAATTACACAGGAAGGCATTGAGCATTTCATAATGTGCCATACTATGCCAATACAACAAACCTAATATGAGCAATACACCAAGGACTATTTCAGAATAACGATTATGATCTGTGGAAAATGTTGTATACACTAGGATATAAAAACACATTGCTCTTCTTACTGGAGAGCAATGTCAACTTTTGTACACAAACATTTAATTATTCCTAGGCACAAACTTTTGTTGGATCCATCAATTATTTGTGGTAGATTTTAGGCCACGAATGAGTAAATAAAATACTACAGATGTTTGGAAAATAAATGTTTTATGTTCAAGCACACAGACATAAAGTTAACGGCATTTTTATGTTTTTAATTCAAGCAGAAACAGCCCACTCACGTACCAATTATCTTTTAATTATTATTTGCAGACATAATTTGAAATGCTCAATTCGCTACACACAGTAGTCCTTGCTACTGCTACCACTGCTGTTGGACCGTAGAGGGCAGCAGTCAGACATGTCTACCTCTGGATAGGCGGTTCACGGTTGTCCCCCACATCCAAACCCCACTGTGAGCATGCCTCAACCAACTGCAAGGCATTCAGCATCTCTTTAAACTTTGTCCGAGTCCTGTGGCCCTAATAACTAGCATTAACAACTGACCGCCAACACATTGTTTTGGTTTTTAAGTTTAAACCAAATAACTTTACACATGTGCAGTTTTGCCCACTTCTGTGACACCCCCCCCCCACTGCACTTTTCAAAAAACGTTAACAGGTTATTTGTTACAATGGTCCGTATGTAATTCATTTCTTCTATTTCACCACAAACGTCCTACCTTTAGGTGTGTACATGCCCTGCTGCATGGAGCCTCCGGGCTCAAACACCGGTGCTTTGAAGTCAGCCACAGCAGAGAGCATCTCCTCAAAGCTACAACTCCCTGGTACAATGCCACTCTTTGGGTTTGGATTCTCAGGAATCTAGAAAAACACTCTTAAGGAAAAAGACTGTCGTAGATGAATGAATATATTTGCTTATTAACTTTTACTATGTACAACGTATATAGTAATGAAGGATACAAGGTCTAACAGCGCGCTGTGTGTACGGTCATTCATACACAACTGTGAGACCATCTCAGCCCGAAGGATCTCGTCATCTGTCATCCCTGTTAGTGAGAGTGAGAAGTTGAACGTAAATAATAATAATAATAATAATAATAATAATCCTTATTTGTAGAGCACTTTTCAAAAACAAGTTACAAAGTGATTTAACAAGTGTAAAGAATAATACAAAAAGAAAAAGTAAAGACAAGCCGGCAAAGATTATAGCCCTACATTAAATACCAATTAGCAGAGGTATAGTGTTTTGTGTAATATCCATGGAGGGGAGTGTCAGTGTGTGGAACTGTAGCAGCAGGAATTTTGGACAGGATTCAGAGAGCCTGTTCATCTCCATCATGAACAAAAAAAATAATAATAATAAATAACTAAATACTATAATAATAAATCCATTATCACTTTAAAGGTGTGTAAATGTAATTCAGCCATCTACGACATGTCAAAATGTCTTCTGTTAAAAAAGCCTATGATAATATGTGCTTTACAGTTTAACTGGAAGATTCCAACGACCATCACAATCGCCTTTTGTGTACATAGAGAAAGTCTTAGATATTTGAGTTCAGCCAATGAGGAATGGGGCAAAACCAAAAGTGTTGCGTTTATAATTTTGTTCTGTGTAGTTAACTCGCTAGTGGTAGTGACGTGATCAGCGGGGCAGTGTATCAAGAGGGAGACTCACCACTCAATTTGTCTTTTTACAAACAGCACACAAGACACAGTCCTCTATCTTTTCAAACATAATTATCTGGAGTGGCGTTTCTTTCACTGGCTGATTGTAAATAGTACACTAATGTGTATCAACACCTCAGACAGCATTATTAGCTTTATGGAATAAATTTACTGTAGGAATATTTTCTTATATTGTAAGCTATTTTTTATTTTTTTTTTTTATTACTCCTTGTAAACTGTGTTTATCCACTTACCCAAATGAGTGCGAAGGCTCGTCAATATTACCAGGAAGGTCAGTGCTCCTTCAAGCATCGGTCGCTCCTGCTCAGAGTCTAACACAGCGTTCTGATGCTGAGATGCCATGGTCAACAGGTCAACCACTTTGAACCTGTGTAAGAGGAGACAGTGCATAAAATGCTAATAATCTGTGTTTAATTAAAATGTATATGAAAGCTTATATAGGAGTTAAGAGCTCACCTCTCAAAAACACTTGAGATAAAGTAGTCAGGATCTAGTCTTGATGCACAAACCTGTAAAATGAATTATCATGAATGAATATACAAAGAAATTCAACATAAATAGAAACAAAGTAAGGATTATACTTAAAACACCTACAGTAAATGCCAGTGAGCACTGTCTCTAATACAGCAATTCAAACCTGGAGCAGATAGATGTCTGGGTCAATCATGGAGTTGCAGAAGTGTGACTGCACGTAGGTCATAGCCTGTCCCTTTATCTGGAGACCATTCCTGACCCACATGTTGCTGTGGATCTCTGACAGGCATGCCTGCAGCCATACATTGCAATGTTTTGGTTAACATGTGGCTACATGTGACCTGGTGGAGATGTATACATAAATACAAACCACACATTTCTTATAGGCCTCTAGTGTAATACCTGGATTTGGAGTGGATGCACCATGATCTTCATCAGCATCTCTTGGTCAGGCAGGAGGCTGTCCAGGTCCAGGCCTTGGCACTTTACAGCCTGAAAATTTTAAACCAAACAATTAACTTTAAAAACACATACAAATGTGCTACATCATGTCTTAAAAGATGAGATTCTTTGACACACCTTACTGAGGAACATGGCATAGTAGCGGTGCAGTGGCAGATGAAATGTCACTTGATTTGGAGCAGGCTGTAAGAGATATGAGAGCCATGAGAAACAGGGGAAGAGAAAGCTTGCTTGTAAATTCAGTGGTTTTGCTTTTAAATTTACCTCATCAACGAAGCCAATGGCATCAAACCAGATCTGCAGGGTCTCTAAGCAGTAGCGTACCACAGTTTTAGTATATTCCTGTGTCTCCTGTTAACAGGCAAATTAAAATATTAAAAGTCATATAGGGTTATACAGTTCATGCATGCGGCATAGGATACCCAAGACGCATGTTCCATTAATCGTTCAAGATCACCACAAATGCACACAGGAGACGTTTGTGAGGGCAGTCTGACAGGGCTTACTTTGACTTTGCAGTGTGTTAGGAGACCCCACATTGGTTGTGCACAGGCCTCGAGCTCTGCTGCAAACGCTGCATAGTACGTCTGGGACTCAAATTCCACATGTTCATTCAACTCCCGCTTATTCAGGTTCATGCCTATGATGTCAGGAAATGGTTTAAAGGGTTACACAGTCACCACATGTTCCATGGCTTTTTAATGCTCATATAAGCAATCAATAAACAATAAATCATAAAGAGCAGACCTTGTGTTTTGAAAATTCAGTGTAAACAGACCTTGTGTTTTGAAAATTCAGTGTAAACCTCTTTACCCCTAAATATATTTTTGTACACCAGAATTTAAAGAGCAATGCAGCAGACATGCATACAATGTAATAGTGACACTGTGCACATAACGCCAGCAAGAGGATACTCAAGCCCACTGCAAGGGTGAGTGTTATTTTTAGGGTCGTGGTGGAGCACACATGGCAAGTGAGCAGCACTAAGCACAATTCTAATTCAGTGACGAAGAGTCATACACCCCACAACTCACGTTTTTCTACGAGGCTTATTAGTAGAAGACAGATGAGGTCTGCCTCTGACTAACTAAGCATAGTATTGCTATATAAAGGTCTAAATGAAAAGCACAAGCAGGAGCAATCCTTTTAATCAAGCAGTGTGTTTGACCTCATGGAGTCACAAATGACTGCAGCATTATCGTGGCACTACACTGCCATACTTGAATAAAGGGGTACAAGAAAGCAAGCATTAATCAATGACAAACAAACAACAGGGTAAATAATATGCATGCCCAAAGGATGCTATGGGATCCAAAAGCAACACCTGTTTCATGAGTATTTGTCACAGCTCTGTCCAGGGACAGGGGTTGCAAATTAGTTTCAGCTAGGAACCCAATGTGCAACACATTTGTCCAAGTTATTGTAAACTGTTACAATGCGTCTCCTGTGCATTGTCTCTGACAAATAAACAGTAATTATTATTTTATTTTATCAAAAAGGTAAATTATTGAAAAATCTGAACCCCAACCTCTGCCTCAATCAGTGTGTAGATATGTAAATGGGAGGCACAGTGAAGTACTTTGTTATGCTCAGGTAAAATAATTTTAAACAGCACAGTACATGTGCAGGTGATTTACCATTTACCTGTGAAGCTATGACTTACCTTGGAAAAATGACACAAAGCTCATCCATAGCATCAACAATGAATGGTCCTCTAGGAACTTTTTCGCTACACTTTGGTGTGAGAGGATGTTAATAAAGTCACTAACTAATGGCCAGTAGGTATTGTTCTTTAACAGAGCCTCACTGCAGTTCACCACCACATGGCGACTGTTCTCTTCATCTAAAAAAGGAAAAAACATGACATAAAGAAACACATGGACATAAAGTTGATGGCATTTTGTCTCACTCTGTATTTAGTTACTCAAACAAAACACATCAGAACAAAAAATGTCGAGAAAGACAACACAAGAGAATTCAAGCTTATTTCACTCAGAGCCTGCCCAATGAGAAGGGCCAGAGGGATGAAACATCTGTGCATGTTTTTCCTGCACGAAGAATGATTAAAAATACAAAGCGAAATTAACAGCTGTATATTGCTCTTTTGAAAGCACTCCAGTTTTTCCTTCTTACAACATTTCACAGCCTTCACGTACCCATTTCTGTACTACTAAAATTGAGACAGTGCCTCCTGGTATGACGTAACCATGACACTGGATCTTTCGAGTAGGTGTATACAATTTGACATTTTGAGTTATGACTTTAAAGCTTAATCTTTGAACCTGAACTTCAGTTTGGTAGAGCATCAGTATCACCTTACATACTGCCAAAGAAGTTAATGATCAACCAGCGATATTAATACCCTTACATAAAAAAGGGTACAGAACCCTTCTAAAAAAACCTAGTCACAAAACCTTCTGCTGTTCACATGTGGTAGGGGGATCCAAACTGAGTATCACTTCAGACAACTTTACAGAAACTATTTGAGGTTTGATGAGTTGTGTTAAATTAAAATAATTAGAAATCCGACACACTTACCCTGAAGTTCACTTTTAATAAGGCAACTCTCCATCATGTAGAGGAGGACAGTGACCATGATGTCCAGCAGCTGACACTCCTCTGTCACGTGACGAGCCAGCTCCTCATTGCTGAACAGCTGCACACTAATATGTACAATGCGGTTGGACATGGTATCTGACTCGTGGCTTTTCATCAGTGTTTTCATGATGAATGCATAATGCTGAACAAATGTTTTCGTAAAAGTGATCTGCCAGACAGGAAGAGAAAAGCACCATAACACAATTGAGGCTTACTGTTAAGATGCTGTCGCTTTTAAGGAGGATTCCATTTGCTTTCAAAACTCGGCAAAGAGTCTGTGCCATGACAAAGAAATGACATTAAAACAAAAGACCAGACATGCATCTAAAATAGGGCTGGACGATATGGCCAAAAATGTTATCACGATAAGAAGTTTCATATCTTTGAATATCCATGATTATTACGACAAGTATCAAATCATTATTTCTTTCGAGTTTAAACTTCACTTCAGTATTTTCATGTCAGGAATATAGTTTATTTTACCTGTTCCATTTGTTTTCCAGTGAGATACTGATTTTATAAAGTGACTTTGCTGCTGTAAACTTTACTTTTGTTGCTGCTCTGAAAACAGTTAGTTATTTAAATTTGATTACTGTTCTGAATTTATTATTTTTTAAATAACATTTAAGGAAATTATTTAGTAATGAAAAAAAACAATAAGAGTACAGATAAAGAACCGAACAAATAAATTCAATACAATGAATAAATGTATCTCTAAAATCCTAACAATATAAAATAAATACAATAGAAGTGGCAGCAGGTAAAGACAAGGTTTATGATAATTTATCACTCATAGTTAACAAGTCCATATCTGGGATGGATCTCTAATTCATTTAATTTCCTATTTATAAAGATTAAACATGATAATGAACTAAATCTTGTTATTTTTAACAAAGTTTTGTGTTGGAGTTTCTGTTATTCTACATTTTGACACCAAGATTAAAAATTTTACAGCAAATGTATATTGGTTCCAAATATCGGTCATCGGTCTAATTGGTTACTAATAATCGAATCAGGATTGGCCCGAAAAAAACATCTTTTTTTTTTTTTTTTTTTTTTTTTTAATGGTATACACTTCATTCCAAACAGTTGATCACTTCAGAAATCTGAGGTAGAAAATTCAAAATAATGACAAAATGAGTAAAATCCCATAAAAGCTTTTTTCAGTCCTTTTTCCTCAACAAAATAAAAATTATATAAAAAAATTAAGCCCTAATTCGTGTATGATTCAAGTGAATAAAATCAAACATTTATTGAATATTTATTGAAGATTTGTTATATTGTTATTCAAAATATTATATTGGGATAATTATTGTTTTGTTTTATTGTCCAACCCTAATCTAAAAGTGAGAGTATTCTGTATACCTTGTAATCTTGATCTGGCAACATGTTTAGTAAGAAGGTGACCATCTTCTGAGGAAACTCATATTTTATCGTCCAAAACAGCAACTCCTCCAGAAAGCACTTATGCTTCAGAGATTCAATAATACACGGGTCTGAGGACAGAAAAGGCACATAATAAGATGGGTGGTTCATGTAACATAAACCCATGCATTGCCTTTTCTTTACATTTACCTTTGGTACTGCTGCTCAGCTTAACCCTCTTCCTCTGTCCAACAGACTGCCCAGCATCTTGGTCCTCCTGAGAGAAAAAAAAACAACACAAATTTCAGGTCGACAAAATGTTTACCAGTGACTGTAGTCAAACGATTAAGCTGAAATGTTGAGTGAAAAAAAATCCCTAACCATTTTGTTAATTGATTAATCATGTAATTATATATAAGAATCAAGTAAAAAATCCCTAAAACAAACAGAATTTCTCTGGATTTTTGGATGATTTAAAGACATTTATGTAGGCCCTGGTCACTAGTGATGTTTCTTTAACATTTACTAGACAAAATTAATATATTAATTAAAAATGGGCCGAGAACTAAACTTAAATTGAAAATAGTTAAAATGTTTATTATGTTGATGTGTGATGCAGGCACATACCTCTTTATTAGACTCATCTGGGCTCCCTGGTGCACTGGATCCTGCAAAAAACATTTAGCCATAAGTAGCCATTAGCAGAATCTTAAGGCACTGGACAAACACAGGAACATGCCCGAGCTAGTTTGCAAAATCGACTATTTGTCCAAATAGTGGTACTCAAAATGGTTAAAATAGGATGTGACACAATTTCTAGGTCCTTCAAAGTCATGTATGCAAAGTTCAACTTCTTTAGATATATATACCATGGTCTGTGCTGTCTGGAGATAAACTTTATGTTTATCTTAACCTTCTGACATCACACCTGAACATTATAGGGCTGCTGTGGCTTGGAGGTTGAGCGAGTCGCCCACTAATCAGAAAAACTGCGATTTGAAGTGTGAAAGGCAAGATACTGAACCCAAAATTGGTTCAGAAGGCTCTGCCATCATTGTGAGAGTGTTTGTGAATGATTATTGATGAATAATTTTCTGATCATTGGCACCTTGCATGGTACCCTCTGCCATAAGTATAAATGGGGTGAATGTGACATGTGAAGTGCTCAGTGGTTGGAAGTACCTATACAAGTACAGTCTGTTTACCATATCTAGAATAGATATGATATAAACGGAGTTCAGGTAATTGTGTGTAAAAAGTGAAAACTGTAAGTTCACAGGAATAAAGGTGAAATTTGTACACTTCAAAGTCAATCATTGTATTGCTTTTTTGATTTATTTAGCATTTAGCATAATAGGATTAAGTTCACTCTCTGATTGCTTGCTGCAAAAGAAAAGTCCTAACAATAACTTTCTGTCACCTGCAGGGCTTAGACCACCAGAAAATGCATGCACATGATCATAGTTTTAAAGTCATTCTCAATGAAATAATGAATGAAAATATGCTTCATATAATGTGTATAGTTATCTTACCCAATACGACCATTGCTCCTGCGCCTCCTTCAGCACCAACAGTGACATCAGCAGTAGCACCTTGTGCTTTCTCCTCCACAGGCACCAGACCTGAATTCTTCAAGGCTGACAAATACTTGTCATAGTTCTTTTTAGCATACAAATTCTCCTCTTGGCCTGTAACAAAGACGGAAAAAAGAAAATGCAATAGTTATTGTCATGACAACAACTCAAGATTAAGAAAACTTTAATCACAAGCAAATGTGCAGTATTTGAAGTAAAGGAGATCTGGATTAGGTATTCTGCTACAGAATGCATAGCTTAGATTAAAATGCAGACAAAAATGTTTTCCTCTTTCCATTTCAAAAGTGAAAGTTATACATTTTAGTATATGCATTTCTCTTTTCATTTCAAGTTTTGAAAATGTCCATAGGGTGCTTAAATAAATCAAGCTGAATTTGGCTCTTACTCATGAGAACTAATTGAAAGCATTGGCAGTAGATGACAATAAAGAACAACAGAATTACATCCATAAATTTATCTAAACCAAGAATGAAACCACTAACATTCTGTGGTAAAGCAGTGCTTAATCTTTATCAGCCTTTATTGGAAACTCTAGTGTAGATATTTACCCATGCTCAACTCCTTGAATGTTTGCTGATTGGTCAAGATTTTTGTCAGTACAGTCCTCATTGCTCCTCCCATTTTCGTGAGCTCCTCCAGGAAGGAGATCTGAGGGTCCAGCTGCTGCAGGACTTTCTGTAGATCTCTCTCGCTTGAGGTGTCTGGTAAAGCAAGATAAGAGATACAAGCTATCATACTCAGTGAAGTGTGAATGTAATTTTGGATGTAAACAGTTGTATAACACCGGTTTGCAAAGCAGATCCTGTTATAATTTGATATGCAACAGGAGACCCACATCAAATATACAATGTCAAAATCAAAGTAAATGGGAGAATATGGAATGCTCTTGATATGTGGGTTCTGAAGGACACAGCCACATTTAAAGAATGTTTCAACTTTTGTTTAAGTGGGTCAACTATATTATCTCACATCTTTGTAAAGTGAAGACGTGGTTGTCGGGAGTGTTTTCACCTGGCTCAATATAGCCATCTCTCAGATACTGTATGATGCACAGGATAAAGCGAGGAAGAACCATCTCGGACATCAAGAGAAGGTCTCGAGGTATTGATGGGATATTCTCCCCTGTTCTCAACCGATGCCGTCTGCAAAACCTGTCAGGAAGAAAGAAAAACTGTTGGAGGTTGCACCTTAGGGGATACCAGAAACTGAGTGCAATTTGGGAAGAAAGCTTTATAATGGTCCTGCCAAACTGAAAGGTTGTGTTTAAGTATAGTTTCATTGTTAATTTGTTTGCTTCTATTGATATAATACTTGTGATTGCATCAAGATTAAAAGCTAAACATTAGGGTGGGTTGAGGTTACAGATAGTTACTCATATTCTCACGTGTGTGTGTTCCCTTAGATGGTCAGATCGGCAGTAAATGCACTCCATATAAAAGCGACAAAACTGTTGAGCAGGCCACTATCGTGCTCTGTGCAGCTAATAAAGCTACTTGACACTGACAAAATCTGATATCACAATATTTTGTTACTTAAGACAAAATCAAAACGTTTTGACTCAGTCATACAATAACTATCACTTAAGTTAACTGTAATTCAGGCTAAAGCATTTACACTAGTAAAAGATGCAAAGCTTACTAATGATAATCTAGCTCCCTTGCTATTTCTAAGCAGTCATATTGATAAAACATAAATACATAAAAACCTCCAGCTACGGCTGCTGGTATGAGAATTGTTGTTATGGTTAGCAGGGCTGGCTAATCCTCTGAGCAGAACTGCTTGCTTCCTATTAATAAATGACAGGAGCATTGCAATATTCAAAACTGTTTATTACTGTCAGTTATTCGTAAGCATATCTTATTAGAATTACTGGAAGCTGAAACCAACTACGCAGATCAGAAAAATTGCGTTAACTTCCCACCAAGACCTGTCAAAACAAGACTGGATAACCCGTAAGTTAGCATAGCCAGCTTAGCTAGAGCAGCTAGCTTGGACTTACCCACTCTCTCGCATGACATTACTGTCTCCACAGTCACAGGCCCCACCAGCCTGGCTCCGGAACATGTTGAAATCATGGCCCGTGTGGTCTCCGTTATTAAAACACTCAGCACACAGTGACATGCACGGGGAGATGCCACAGGTCCGGCATCGATATGCCACGAAATTAGCCGTCCAGACCAAGCCGCACAGAGTCGCGTTGTCATAGGACCGGACCGTTTTGCAGAACTCCTCGAAACCTTCGCCTCCTGCAATTAGACATTTACACCAGTCAAGAGCCTCCGTGTCCGCCGCTGATATTTCAGGATTCAGTACAGCGTCGAGCAGCTCCTGTAGTTGTCGGACCCCGGAGCTATTGTCAGTCCGATTTAAGTCTGCCTTCAAGTGGGTGGCAGTGGCTTTCTTGTCCCGGCGCAGCAGCGACGCCGCCATCATGCACTCTGGCTTGTTGTCCACAAATTTATTTTTGTTGTCTTGTTTCCATGTTCTCGTTCTTTCTCGCGATACGACCCGTTACGTCGTTTGTCGGCTGACGGATTTGCTAATGTAATTTACACCCAGTGTGCAGTGAAAATCTAATTTAAGTATTTAATCCAATTATGCCTTGTGTAAGTATTTGATATGGCAGCTCAAGTTATACCGTTTACTTCTGTTTTGTTTTCTTGTTTCTAGGTAACGAAACTGACCCTCTATCATGAGACTGATAAAGATAAAACTTTTTTTTCTTTGCAACACCCAGCCGTGCAGAGGACCATAGCACAAATGTTTATAACATGTAGTAGGTCAATTATCAATTAAATTATCGAATTAAATAATCTCATTTGTTACACTTTATTTCTTGTTGTACATAACCTTAATATCCCTTTTATTAATTATGGTACATTAGAATTTAAACTTATTAATTTTACTTAGCTTTTTATTTATTTTGGCAGCCACGTTATCAGCTATATTGTAAGTCATATTCTAAGATGCCTGTTTGAAACTTTGCACACAATAAATGCATTTAATGAAACAAAAAAAATGGAGGGAAGAACTACTCTCACGCGTCCCTGGGTCGAAGTCGGACTGTTGTGGTTGATGCGCTCCCTCTTGCGGAAGTCGTCTACAGCCAAGATCAAAAATATACACTCACAGCGAGTTTAGGTAAAGAATATATTGAAAATACGTATCGGAGTTGTAGCACAGCGGACACAGGTCTGGGGCATCACAATCAGTAGTGATGAAACTAAAAGAGTTAGAGAGTTGCTTACAGCAAGTGGACACATTTGAAGAGCCAAAGATCCTTCTTGAGCAGTATCCAACCAGTCCTCATATTGCAGGTAAGGTGAGAACGTGTGGCCGTAGGAGAGTTGGTTGATTTGATGATAGTTCTCATTAACTTTTTGTCCCCTGCAGCACGCATGCTTTATACCATCCAAAGCACGTTTGATGACATTGAGGGTAAACTAGTGGCTGATCTGGGATGTGGCTGTGGTGTCCTCAGTATTGGGGCTGCGGTTCTTGATGCAGGGTGAGAGCATCTGTCCATCTTAATTACATTGCTTTCAGTTACGTCAATGCATTTCGGATAACAGTCGTACTTTTAAATCGGCTTCATTCCTCATGCCCTTCTCTCTCCTCTTCAGTTTGTGCGTTGGCTTCGACATTGACAACGACGCACTGGACATATTCAGGAGAAATGCAGAGGAATTTGAGATTTCTAACGTGGATCTGGTTCAGTGTGACCTGTGCTCGTGGGGGGCAGAGGCATATGCCAAGAAGTTTGACACTGTAATAATGAATCCACCATTTGGGACAAAACACAACCAAGGTGAGTACACAGTTTAAAGGGCCACTTCAGTGATATAGTTTCGTGATAATACTAAGTTGGGAGACTTACAAAAGATGGATCTATAAAAAATAATCCAACAGAGGCCAGGATTTCTTGGCTTTCAATCCTGTTGTATGGGTCAAGATACAAACACACTGGATCCTACAATCCCCATAATGCACCCAATAGCATCTGTGTGATAAATACTGTGCATTCATGGGAATAATTGATTTCCCAACTGTGAAAATTTATGTGAACACCCCCCTGAAGTCACAATGGTGAGTTGTAGATATACTTGTACAAAAATAGTGGACAACATGGTTGATGGTTAGAAACGTTTTAGTAATGCTGCGAAATCAGGTGTTGCATAAACATTTTTTGTTAACATGTCACTTGTTTTATAGTATTAGGTTATAACGGTTAGTTTGCTGTCCATGTAGATTAATTAGGAAAGTTATTTATTATCAGTATTTGCAGTACAAACAGTATTTTAGTTAATGTATTGTTGCAGTAGCCTAGCAACTGTCAGACAAAAATGACATTGTAATAAAAAGCTTCAAACTGTTTCAGCATACAATTCACGTCAATTAAAAAAAATCCACATCATTCAATAACGATAATTATTACAATAAATGTCATCATTTATTTCAAGTTGAAAGGCTGATTTTTGCTCCTGGGTGAAAGGTTTTATGGCCAGAACATGACACTTGCCATACAATGGATCACTTAACAAATCCGAGGTAGAACATTCTTAACAATTATGATAAAATCTTTTTTCAAAAAATAGGCATGAGTTAAACCAAGTAAAAATCTTTGAGTTAAAGCACTTTGCATTCAAAACGTGGCACACCATCTGTTAAATTTCAGTTTAAACAATGAACATGTTTTGTTTTGAGGTGTTTTTGTATTTTATAGAAGTCAGATGTCAGCTTGAGTTTCCCTGTCATAATCAAATTGTTGGATTTTGACAAACCATATTTACGTCAAAAACAGTCATCATGGCAACATTAGAAAGCTCTCCAAAACTACTAGAAACATTTACAAGTTTTCACAGGCTGAATCTTTGTAACATACATACTTATCTTATTGTCAGAGTACCCCTTTACCTGACTGCAGTTTGTCCAGTTTCATAGTTTTTATTCTTCATTAAAGGCATGGACATGAAGTTCCTACAGGCCGCTTTAACAATGGCAAAGACAGCAGTGTATTCACTTCATAAAACATCAACACGAGAGGTAAGCTCAGTATCCATACCAGTCACATATACAGCACTGTGGTATTAAACAGAGGTTTGAACAAATGATCTCATTTTGACATAATAGTAAAATCTGTAATTATAACATTTCTTTAAATGAAACGGGTCAAATCTTAAGTACTTATTTTGAATCGTTACTGTCTGCACCTCTAGTATGAAGACTTGATGTGCAATTCCTCATCTGATTACAGCATATACAAAAGAAGGCTAATGACTGGGGAGTGAAGATGGAAGTAATAGCAGGTGACGATGATACAGTACATCTTCTGTACAAGTAAAATATTCAAATATTGACGGTGTACTCTTTACAGAACTAAGGTACGACTTGCCAGCATCTTACAAGTTCCACAAAAAGAAGTCGGTAAGCCATTATACTCACACCACAGTCTCTGGGAATACATGTTTTGCTGCACATTAATAAGCTGTAATTGACAACACAATCAAACAGATCTTTAATTTTTATAAATGTTTTATTTGCTATTCACATATACAAACTTAAAAATTTCGCAAAGCAGATGTTTTCAGTCTGTGTAGGAAATCTACATGAGGGGGAAAAAAAACAAAAACAAATGGCAGACAGATTGTGGATGTCACACAGGTCTTACAAAACCAACTAATTGTTGGTGAAATTAAATTACTGTCAAAAGAGCAGACTTATGTAGAATGATAAAATCAAAGATCTTAAGACAAACGTAGGTACACAATGTGAGAGGCACAATATTACAGGGACTTAAAAAGCTGAAAACTGACACCAAGCTTTGTAAATTCTTCTCTAGGTTGACATCCAGGTGGACTTCATAAGATTCTCCAAGGTGTGACGCTTTCACTGGAATGGATTTAAGTTGCCTCTGTATTTTCACTGTTTATAATAAATGTTTTCAAAAAAGAAATATTCTGGGCGTGACCTTGTGATTAAGATCCGTTTTCAGTTTTGGCAACCTTTGCTGCAGGACTTTCAGCGTCTTCTAGTTCTCTCTTTGGGGCTGGGGCTGCGGGTGCTGGAGGGAAAGCACACAGTAGGTTCAATATGATCAATCCATCAAAGCAAACCAACAAACCACATTTTGACTGCTCTAAAAGATGCTGAACTTACCATCGTCGTCATCATCGCTATCAAATTTCGTCTTTTTGCCCTTGTACTGAGTTCTGCCTTGGTCTCTGCCACCTCTTCCCCTTCGGCCTCCTCTTCCTCTGCCACCTGATCTTCCTCTGCCGCCTTTTAAGACAGATAACATTTATCAGCACTAAATCACAAATACAGTAACTTAATCACTGATAATATTAAAATAGTTTATTGAAGATTTACAAATCCTTTTAGATCCACTGCTTGTTTGACAATATTATTTACCTCTGCTTTTGGATCTGCTGTACGATTCTTGTTGAGCTTCGATTATCTTCTTCAGTTCCTCTTTCTCCTCATCCCCTTCAAGCACCTGCCATGTAACACTGTTGTTCTTGATTTTCAATTCCCCTCCCTTTGCTTCTTTGGCCTTATCGAACGCATCCTTTGCGTTCCCATCGAACAGGAGCGTGCCCTTGTCGAAAGTAATAATACATAATGTTAACTACATTACATCTCTTCTTTACCCCGAGTATTAGACTTAAGTGGTGGAGAGTTTACTTACCTCTTTGGCTCCTCTTGTAAAATCAACCCACTTTATCTTTCCATGGCCAGAGAACAATTCATGGAAGTCCTCTCTTGAAACATCTTCAAGCTCTCCTGAAAACTTCAACAAGCAACCTGTTTGTTCATCCAAAAGCAGACCCTGCAACACAAATGAGAAAGTATTATTACTGTGATCTGACCCCATCCCAGTGAAAAAATGTAAGCTTGTAAGCCTTTAGGGGCATCTTACCATTTCTTTCTCTTCTGCGTGTTTCTGCTGTTGTTCCTTGTCCCTAAATAATATATTTCGGAAGGAAGAGGGTCAGTAATTCTTTCACAAAATGTAAAGTATGTTTTAAGGGCAGAAATGTATTGCTTGTGTACTCACTGTTTAGCTTTTGCTTTATTCTCTGCTTTGTGATGTTTTCTCTCTTCTGCTTTCTTTGCATGGTAGTCTTCTCTGAACACAGAACAGCAATGACATGATTATTGTACACTGAAATTCAAAAGTTTGTATGGAAAACACCATTTGTCCACTGTAGATAAATCTTAAATCAAGAAGCAACAAGTACAACTTACCTTGATAACACAAGCATCTCGTTGTCCTTGAATGACTTTATGTCTGAACGTTCTAGGAACTG